GCGTTTTTAGTTTGCCAGTTTGCATACATCAATGACCTAAACTTTAAACCTGTCATATTTATAGCATTGGCCACAATCGGATTTGTGGCGTCACGCAGTTGACGGGCAGCCAGGACTCCTGTAATGGAGGAACAATTTAAGCAGGCGTTTAAGTGTAGGACAAACAAAATGGACATAAAGCTGTTTACAGAGAGCAAAATACGAAGAGTTAAACTTCCGCTAGTGGCGTGTTTAAATGTACCAGAAACATGAAAAGAAAGCGCCCGATTTCGAAATAACGGAAACCTATGTCTCTTAAGCCTTCTACATAAACTAACCCAACTGGTAAAATTCCAGGCAGGCGGGAAGTATAATCAGCTAAACGAAAGGGGAAGATTGACTTTAAACTACCCAAATGCCATGAATACATATCCCCTAAAAGTAAAAGCTAGGTGGGGCCACATATCCGATCGTTAATACAGGATTCTCCAGTAAAACAATTTCAAGAAAAAGTCATCACAGTCTGGCCGTGTTTATCAAAGGACGGATTGTTCCACCAGGTGGCAACATTCAGAGCTAATGCTTTCGAGGCGCTGGACTAACTTAACGTTGGAGGGCTGTAGGGCTTGAGAGTCGCGCCACGTTGGTCCCTGTTTGTTCTTGACCGTACGCACACCATGGATCAGGGTGCACGCCTCTCGCCTGCTTTCCTGACTCTTCTTAACACCAGCCTGGGTGGCGATACCTACCGGGGACTGTTTTTTTGCCATGTTGACGGCCAGGTGTCGGTGCATGCACGCACTTAAATGGCCATTTTCTGCGAATTTCCGCCAGCCACTTATCGCCTCGCTCGATCGCCTCCGTATCCACCGCGGTATCTGCGTGCCATGAATCACGGAAGTTCGAGATAAGACTGATAGTGGTGCGGGGGGGAGGGAGGGAGCAGTAGACTGTTTCAGAGGCGTGAAGGTATCTTTTGTTCGCACGTCAGATGCGCTGGATGCGAAAGGGATTTTCCGAGCAGATGAATAGAGGATCATGGTGAGAAGAAAGGGCGCTAGCAAGGCGGTGAAAACTTTCAATTGGAGTAAATATCTACCTGTGATCTAGCAGTGTGGCTATACCTTTACGGGAAGCGACGCGCCCAGTCACTAGACATCACCTCAAGTAGGTTCCCAGAAAAGAAATTAGTTTTTTTAAGGCGTATCCAGTTATGCCAACAAACATAACGAATTTCCCGAGGAGACCTTGTCCTTCTTTGTTTCTAGTCTAAGAGGGCATTTATCGTCTTCACACCGACATTTCTATATTCGAATGAAATGTGTCCGTCGGTTTTTCTCCACTACTTATTGGGACTCCTCTATAAAACAATGTGTAAAAGCTTCCCGAAAGGAGATTTTTCGTGCGTAACAGTAGATGAATGGGGAGGCATATAAATATGCACTTTTTAAAGCTAATTCCCTCCTCTACTCCCTTATCCAGTAATAGGGCTCGAGCTGTAATCACTGTTTTCACCGTGACCTTGAAACAGCCCACATTGTTTGCAGTAGAAAAAGAGCCCGAAAGGCAAACAATAACTTGTTAATCCACACGAATATCTGGCCCCAAATTAATATTTTGACATATTCCAAACAAATAAGGCTCACAGTGCACTCTCAATTCGCATTCATACCTTTCATCCGATTGCTGATTATTGCTCATTTTAGGAATTCCGTTCAGTAATATAAGTAACGGTTAAGCAGTATTAGAACTCAATGTAAATATGGCTGAAAGTTACCTGTTTTTAATGTTTTTCTGCATAGATTTCGCTTTTTGTCCGGCTGAAGCCACATCCTTAAAGCCATTCCCATTACCAACATTCCTTTTATTACACGATCCTAGGGTTAGTGGTGGCTGACATAACCTGCCTTGTGTCAAATTTTGGTTAAAATCGTCTACGATTGGTCACTGGCAGCACGTCGTGTTGCTACGGGCGCGTTATCTCCTCGGCCACAATCGGGAATGTTCATTATCCCCGAGGAAGGCGCGTTCACTGACCACAATTCAGCACGTTCTCATCTTGTTGCCCCTTGTGGTTGCCTGCGAGCCCTCAGGCGCAATTGGACGAGCATGTCCCATGCGATACGAACGCACTTCCACAAAAATGAGGCATGAAGTTACACCGTACTCAGGGAGTTAGAGCTATTTTTCGCACCACAGAACTCTTTTCACGCTTGCCCATTTATAATTTGGGTCAACTATGTTTAGTGACCAATACAAGGGACAATGCAAATCTCAGAAAGTAACTGAGTAGAAGCAGATTTGATCGTTGGGCAAAGACTTTATTCGTATGACGTTTCGGTTTCTTTCGTGAACCATCATCAGCACCAGTAGCCGAAACTGTTAATTCATACGCAGGGATTTGTAGGACGCGTTTATGTGGAATTTATAGGATGCAATCAATAGACTTCTGTATAACTATGAATGATAACGGCTCCTCTTTACCGAGAGTAGTCGCCCGCTTGCTTGATGGCGAACATGCGAGGCATGACCTGCTAAAATTTCATCACCCGTGTTGGACTTGGGCATGATGATTGCTAGGCTATCTGGCTGTCTGACGTTGGTGTTAGAGCATGCATTCGCTGTGAGCCCCAAAACGTCGACTTGCTTTGACCAAACTGAACCTCGGCAAAGAATATGTGTTGTGTTTAGTGCATCGCAATATAAGTCAGCTGGTTATGGTAGTCCCCTCGGTGTTGTTGGAGGAAGCCTCGGTGGCCGACGTTTTGCATCGAAACCACTTTCACCTTTAAAATATCAC